GGGTCGCCAATTGCTTGTTGATGTGACCCCTACTGGGAAAGAACAGGGAATGGGGCGCAATATGACGGTGAGTGTGTTGTTCATACGAGAGCAGGTCAGTTCAGGAGCAGGCAACCTGAGATTGTACACTGTATGCATAGCTTAGGTATTTTTTGTTTAAGGATAGTGTAGTGAAGGGTTAAAACACCTATTAGTTTATATTTTGCTGTGTGAATCCCACTGGGGTGCTTTTATTTCACTGCCTCTACATGCAACATAACAGGAAGTGAGGGGAAATCTATGCAAAGTTAAAATGTCCCCTTTTAGACAGTTGTCACCAGAACTGGTGTCTCTGTTGGAAGAGTTAACCTTCTATTTTTGTTCCTGTGGCACCCCACATTTTTGGATAGTTTCTCACGTTCTGTCTCAGTGACAGTGGTCACCAGGACCATTAGAGGGTTAATCTCCACAAAGGGGGCACAGAGACCAAACAATATTTCATAGGGGTCTAATCCTTCTCTACTTTGTTCAAAACTAAAAAAAAAAATAGTTTTGCCTAATCATGCCCTATTATTATTATTATATTATTATACAGGATTTATATAGCGCCAACAGTTTGCACAGCGCTTTACAATATAACACTTTACATATAGGGACATTCCGCAACCTTATTGGTCTGGGAGGATGTACCCATACATCTTCCTGGAATCTCCTGCGTCCACACACCCAAGACGCATACAAGTCACTGTTCTTGGACAGCGGAAAGCATCAGCCACAGAGCCGATAGGACCAGCTCGGTGCCTATTGATCTCTGTGATTGGTTTTTAGTGATCACATGGCAATGTTTACATTTCCAAGCCCTCCCCCTTCCTCTTACAACAGAGGCAGGGGAAGGAAAAGGAAGTAAATGAATTAATAAATCATTAATTTGTAACTTCCTGGGGAAAACAAGCTGCGCAGCGGATGCAATTAATCTGGGTGCATTGTTGTATGACAGAGTAATTGTCAGTCAAACTTTCACATTACTGAAAAGTGGCCTGGTGATGAATGGGGTTTAATGTGCTGGTAGTGAAGTGGTTAAAGAGACTCTCCTCGATTAACAGCTTCAGGCCAGCCATACATCAATAAACGGCGGCATCCTGAGGCAGTTATAGCAAGGCAAGCCATACAAGGCATCCTGAGGCAGTTATAGCAAGGTCAGCCATACATCAATAAACGGCGGCATCCTGAGGCAGTTATAGCAAGGTCTTGGTACTGTTTTAAACAACCAGCAATGGCTGCACAGTGTTCACATACAAGCGATCCAGTGGCTATAGAACCACCCGATCACTTGTACGGTGTCTGGGAGTGTGCGCCCCAAACACCCCCTCCTCTTCTGGCAGCTATCCCAGGTTCTGCTGTCCCCCATGATCAGCACAGTGGGTCTGTTCACTTCGGCTGGAGGGAGATCAGCAAACATATCCCCCAGCTGATCTCCCCTTCGATCACTGAAAGCGATGTGTGTTACATCTCTTCCGGTTTCAGTTTGTCATTCCTCCCGCTGCTGTAGCCATAGAAGAAGCTGATGAAGCAGATCAGCTTCTTTGGGGAACCCCGGTGACAGTAGGGATCTTATTGACCCCTGATGTCTCCATAAAGAGGACCTGTCACTTCTTCTTTGCTGGGACATAGGGGACTTGTTAGCCCTCTATGTCATAGCAATTAAGTTAAGTATAAAAAATAAAGTCACTTTAAAAAAAAACAAGACACAAAAACATTTGTCCCTCAAAAGTCCCTCGCCCTCACATACACGCACACATGCGCAAACACGCTTCAGGTGCATCTGCTGTACCTGTGAAAACGTTTGTGCCACACATGTTACAAATTACCATAAACATCGGAGTGCAAGTAATCATTCTAGGGCCATTAGTCACTGGTAACACTAAAGTGATGAACACTAAATGCTTTTAAAGCTCTCCTATGGGAACGTTCGGTGTGGTCGTTTTTTGCGATTTCACAGGCACACGCAATTTTAGGGCTTGACATGTTTGGTGTCTATTTACCTGACACAACTCCATCCTTTAGATTTCACGGGAAAATTGGGTATCGTATTCTGTTTCTGTGCACTAAATTGCATTTTAGTGTAATTTATCCTTAACATACTGGTTTGTAAAACATTTGTGCAAATATCATGCAACATAAAAAATTGCAACAAGCATTTTTTTTATTCTACAGGGCCCCTGCTTTCAGAAAATATATATATGGGGGGTTTTCACTAAAGAGCCGAAGGATTCAGCCGTAGCTTCGGCTGATCCTCCGGCTCGATTCGGCTGCCTCTGTCCTTTAGTTCAGTCGAACCGAAGGGCTGAGGTACGGGCTATTCACAATATGATCTCACAGCTGGCTCCGCCCAGTGGTAATGGCAGATCAGCGTCCAAAATTGACCTGGGGACGCTGATCTGTCATTAAACAATAACAACTGATTGGAACCGGCCAATGAATAACAACTGTGCGGAGCACGGCCGCCCCCCCCCAGTTGTTATTCATTGGCCGCGGCCTGCTAGAAGACTCTGGCAGGTTCCAGCCAATAGGAAGCAGTTGGGCGTAGTTAGCGGTCACTGCTAGCTGCGCCCAATTGTTTTTCTTTTGTCGGCATCTGTCAGATGCTTTATTATGCAGCGGGAGTTTGTTGGGTCGGCGTGCGTGGGGTTTTTTTTTTCATTATTTATTTTTTTATGTTTTTTTCATTCATTCATTTAACCGTTTTGCTATTCTGCTCGTTACCTCGGAGGTAGCGAGCAGAATAGCCGAGTCGAATGACGCTCGGCGACATTCGGCTATTCACTAACTGCCGTTCGGCAGAGACATTCTGCTATTCACTCACTGCTGTAATGCAGAGCATTTTCGGCTGACCGAAGGCAGCCTATGTACGGCTGACTTCAGCCGTACTGAGCCGGAGTGAATAGCCGAACATCATTCAGCTCGGTTATTCACTCGGCTGCCTATGTGAATAACCCCCATAATTATTTGGGGGATGTTTAGCTGTTTTCTAGCCAAAAAGTCAGATTTTATTATGTGTGTGCAAAAATTAGGGAATTGCTAGGGACAGCAAGTGGTTAAACACAAATGAGCTGTTAACACTCCGCTCTCGGGAAGGAGGTGAGCCCTGGATGTCCCGAATGGCTTGTTCTCCGCTGTGCATTGTGGTTCCTCCCACTGCGTGCTATTGGGGGGAGTAGACAAAGGAGGACCAGGCATAGCCAGATAGGTGAGTATGAATAAAGTTTTCTTTTCCAGGCTAATTTTTTCAGTTTTTTTTTTTCAAGCAACAGTCTTGTAAAAGAAACCTTCCTTGGAGAGATATGGAGGCTGCTGTTGTGGTGATTTCACTTTCTACAAATTCTAATCATTCTGGGCTTTTGCCTCCAACAGTTTATATAACACCAACAGTTTGCACGGCACTTTACAAAATGTACAGTGCAGTACAGTTACAATGCAATTTCAATACAGGAAGGTTTAGGAGGGCCCTGCTCATAAGAGCTTACAACCTAGTAGGTGGGACAAGTGATCCAAAAGGTAATATTTGTGTGGGATGAGCTGATGGAAGAAGTGAAAGGACAGTTATTATGTCGAGGTGGGATAGGCTTCCCTGAAGAGATGCGTTTACAAGGATTCCCTAAAGGTGGATTGGGCTGGATTCATACTGCTCCCTGTGCACGCAGCACACATTGTAATGCACATGTGGGTGTGAACGGGTCCATACAGTTTACCTTTCCCTTTTCAATAAACTGCTTCACATAGGAGTGAACCAGCCCCATAGGAAGATAGGAGATTTCTGGGAGGGATGCATCTTCATGAGTTTTGCTGCATGAAAAGTGTGAATAGGTCCCAACTCTTTGCTACTGCTAAGAGATACTTCTTTGTCAGCCATCATACACCACAGGAGGTATTTGTCTTGTTCCGGTTTGGGTTGGATTGTCCCTTTAAAACTACATGAAAATGTATTGTATAGTTACAGAAGTCTATTGCCATACATTTGTTTTATTTTGCTGTTTACTTCTAGGTTCTGAAGCTTTTCAAAGCATTGCATAAAACAAGACAACAAGTTTTCCGAAATGATACCCGGGCATTAGAAGGTAAGCGAATAGGTGAAGGATTCAACTACAGAGTTGTAACTAAATGGTATGAATGTTTTATAGCTTTTATATAGATTGTATGACTGTTTTATAGCTTCTATAGAAGTAGTACCATTTCTCTTTATTTCAGCTGCAAGGCAAAGAATCAATGCAGAGTTTCGGAAAAACAAAAATGAGTCTTCTCCGGAAAAGATGTCAGAGGTAGGGGAAAATATTGCAAAACTAGAATGGATTTTCAGTCCATGGATTTTTTGATAAACGACCCCGGCTTTGCTGATATCGGACAAAATGGGTTTCTAAAAAGGATTGTTCTTTTTAATTGTGAATAACTTTCACAGAATCAAATCTCTACATTTATCTACAGTAACATCAGCTGCTTTAGGATTGTACTGGGCAAACTAGAAAAAGTTAATATTTTTTTAATGTATTTGTTTCTAGAATACATGGAACATTAAAATAGTGTGCTGCTAATTTTATGTATGGATTTGCGATGGCAAAGTCAATGTTAAATCAATAGGCCAATAGCTGTAATTAAAAAATTGCTCTAGTCTATTAGGGGTTTACAGGTGTGGAAACTACAGATACACAACAGATTACTCTTGCAGTGCACGCAGTACACACACACACACACACCCCCCCCTCTCCGCACAGAACACACCCCCCCCATCTTTGTTAAAAGAGAAATATGGCGTAAATGTTTTTCCCCATAGTTCTCTTAAGGGTCACGAGAGGACATATACTAGCATCCTCTCGTGACCCAAAGCACAGTATATCGCGAGCTACAGCTCGCGGTATACTGAGACCGCCGCAGCCGGGACGGACCCTGACAATGCTGTCGAGATCCACCCAGCTGCGTGAATGGCAGCTGGCTCTGCCTATATAGAGGCAGACCCAGCTGTACCCGCCCCCTCCCTTGTCCGTTCCTCCAGTCAGCGCTGGAGGATCGAAGTGGGGAGGGGGGAATCCTTGCGAGGAGCGGTGACTGACAGTCACTTCTCTCTGCAGGGAGATGATCGAGAAGGGAGCGAGCGAGGGTATGTGTTCGCTCACTTCCCGATCTATTGAGCCGACGTGTGACAGTTTCATTGTCACATGTCAGCTTGAACTATGAGGCTGAGTGATTTTCGCTCACCTCATAGTTCTCCTTTAAGTCTGGGGGTACAGGGGTAAGCAATAATACTTACTGTTTCCCTGCTCCAGCAGGCTCTCTGTTTGTGCTGCTGGTCCAGTGAAGCCTCCCCCCTTAAATTCTCCCAGCCACAGTTGCACGCCTACCTCCTCTACATACAGTGCAAGGCTCAATAGTCCTGCATTGTACTTGATGACACTGAGCGACCACTCAGAGCCCAGACAAACATATGGAAGCTGCCATTGCTGACTTAGTTTTTCAGGGTTCAAACTCTTGAGTTCTCTTCCTGATCCTGGTTTAACTACCTAAAGAAACCTGACCTGGAACAAGCATGCAGGATGGAAGTTTAGGCTTTTTAAGACTTCACTGGGTGCATGCCCTAGGTCAATGACTCAAAAAGTATTAAAGGAGAACTATGGGGTTAAGGCTTTTCCCCATAGTTCTCCTTAGGGTAACGGGAGGACACAAACTAGCGTCCTCCCGTTACCCTAAGCTCAGTATACCGTGAGCTGTAGCTGGCGGTATACTGAGACGCCGCAGCTGAAGCGGATCCCGACAATTGTGCCGGGATCTGCCCAGCTGCGTGACTGACAGCTGGCTCTGCCTATCTAGAGGCACAGCAAGTTGTAAACGCCCCCTCCCCCGTCCGTTCCGCCAGTCAGCGCTGGCGGAGGGGGGAATCCATCCCCTCCCCTGTCACAGCAGAGAGACGTAGATGACGGGATCCGCCCAGCTGCGTGAGTGACAGCTGGCTCTGCCTATCTAGAGACAGAGCCAGCTGTACCCACCCCCTCCCCCGTCCGTTCTGCCAGTCAGCGCTGGCAGAGCGGGGAGAGGGGAACCCAGCCCCTCCCCCTGTCACGGTAGAGAGCCGTGACAGGATCGAGAAGTGAGCGAACACCGGCATGTGTTCGCTCAACTCCCGATCTACTGAGCTGACCTGTGACAGTCTCATTGTCACAGGTCGGCTAGAATTATGAGGTGAGTGAAAAGCACTCACCTCATAGTTCTCCTTTTAAAACCAGTATTTTGATGTCAGCCGTGGGGTCTGCACCATTAAAGCCAAGGCATTTCTGCTGGGTATGGGAGCATAGGAAAGCATCATTTTACATTAAAAAGACAGGTTTTTGTTCTCTTATGAGTGGGGATCCTTAGTTGCTTGCAGTAGCAAAACTGCGTTTTTCTGGTATAAAAGTGTTCACTATAAAATTGTCTCGTTTGATTTTACAGCTAATAAAATTAGGACAAGATGTTGAAATTCTTCTCAGAACAACAGTTATTCAAGGAGTTCACACGGATACTGATCGAATAGGTAAGAACAGGATAATCAATCGTTTCTTCTCCCATTACAAATCTGTGACATAATACTCTTGATATTCAACATTGATGTTAGAGGGGACAGAAACCGAGGATGAGACGAGGTCAGGGAGCAGAAACAGAATAGAATGGAAAGATGCGGCATAGTTGTTAAAGGTGCCTGGGGGCACTAGATAGTAGCTGGCCAGGCTTGCATAATCTGGTCACTGACAGATTGTGGCACAAATATGCAGGTTTGCATTGGATGTGAATATTTTGACATAGGGAGCAGAAGCACCTGCACATTTATTTTTTTTATCATCTCAAAGGCTGGGGGAAAGCCAATGTGTTTCAAATATTGATCGCCTACAGACACAAGGAGGGGGATTTATGAAAATTGGAGCAGACACAATCTGGAGCAGTTGTGCATGGCAATCAATCGGCTTCTATCTTTCATTTTCAAATCTTAATTCAACAAACTGAAGAGAGAAGCTGATTGGTTGCCATAGGCAACTGTTGCAGACTGAAATTAGAGCTGTGGGTGACCCTGTCAGCAGCACTCTATTTGACAGAAATCGATTTTTCCATCAACTTTGTCAAAGCAGCCAGGAGAAAATTATCAGCTGAACAGTGACTGCAGTCACAGTTTGGGTATTCTATTTAACCAGTTGACATCCGCGGTGTTAAACCCCCTTCCCATATGTCCACTCTAACTTTTATATAGTCTATATAAAAATATTCCCAAAATTGATATAATCAAAAATAAATGTGATGAAATCCTTGTGTTCACTTTCTTTATATTACATCAGTGAGTGAAATAATCACTCGTGACTTCTGTGCTTCAATTCCTCGTCAATTAATCACCAGTGATCCACCTCCAGGTGCACAAACACTAGCACACTCACCAGATAATTCTGACCACCCAAGTGGTCTTTAAACGCTCTGCAAACTTCCCGGGTGTCCGATGTCTCCCTCTCCACCGAATCACCAACAGCTGAAAATGATGAGTCCGCCCGATGTCTCTCCCAACTCTCTCTTATCCACTCAAAATAGAAAGCCAAGATGGCACATAGTGTAAAACTGCTAGATGATAGTTTATTCATAAAAGTCAGAACACTTACATTTAAAAGAGTTTTTCAGCGCTGTAAAAACATAAAATCGGCTTGTATTAGCTCAGCTCTGTCTCCTCACTCCATACTGCCAGCTGGGAGCGCTGGCTACTTAACAGGGAAGGTTTTCCCATCCGCACTGTTACTGGGTGGGGCTGAACAAGAAAAAACAACAGGTGCATGGCCAGCTTTACCTGTGCGCGTTACTTTGCATGTATGCTTGCAGTAAAGTATATCTGATGCTAGGTCTTCTTTGACTACTGAATTAACAGTCTGGTGGGATGTATGAATATAATGCTGGGCTTTCTTATTAGTAACCGGGCATTACAAGAAGAGGGTTGTAAACATAACAGCAATAAATACTTATTTTTATAAATGAGACTTAAAGGAGAACTATGAGGTGAGTGCTTTTCACTCACCTCATAGTTCTAGCCGACTTGTGACAATGAGGCTATCACAGGTCGGCTCAGTAGATCGGGAAGTGAGCGAACACATACCGGCGTTCGCTCACCTCTCGATCCTGTCGCAGCTCTCTGCCGTGACAGGGGAGGGGTTGGATTCTCCCCGCTACGATTCGCCAGCGCTGACTGGCGGATCGGACGGGGTAGAGGGCGGGTACAGCTGGCTCTGCCTCCAGATAGGCAGAGCCAGCTGTCACTCACACAGCTGGGCGGATCCCGACATAATTGTCGGGATCCGCTTCAGCTGCGGCGTCTCAGTATACTGCGAGCTGTAGCTCACGGTATACTGAGCTTAGGGTGACGGGAGGACGCTTGTTTGTGTTACCCTAACTATGGGGAAAAGCCTTAACCCCATAGTTCTCCTTTAATAAAAATGTTTGAAAAGTTTTTTGTTTTTTTTAACCGCCTCCCGGATGGGCGTTGTAAAAGAAACGGCCAGCCGCTCAGCCACGCCCACTTGCGCTCGCCGCAAGAAGGAAAGTGCCAAATTGTAAAAACAGGCAGCGATGCCTGTTAACATACAAGCGATACAAGCTCTATAGCCGGCGGATCGCCTGTATAAGCTGCCGGTCCGTGTGGCGGCCCCCCCTCCCGCAGTCACGCTGGTCCCGGGCTCCGCTGGGACATTAGGGATCCTGGAGACCCCTGATGTCTCCATAAAGAGGACCAGTCACATCTCTTTGCTGAAATAAAGTCCCCACCCATACATACACGCATGCAAACAGGCGTTGGGTGCACATACGTGCAAAAATGACGATTGCGCCCATTACACCGCACATGTTACATATCGCCACTGATAACACTAAACTGATGAGCGGTAAAAGCTTTTAAAGCGTCGCCTATGGTCAATTTTGGGTATGGTAGTTTTTTTGCAATTTCGCGGGAGCGCCCAATTTTAAAGCTTGACCTGACTTTTTACCCGACGTGACCCCGTCTTTTATATTTTACCAAAAAATTGGGGTGATAATAATTGTTTCCTAACATAATGAAAAAAAAATTTGATTAAATACCACCAAAAGAAAGCTCTATCTGTCCCCACAAAATTGTATAAAATTAATTTCAGTACAGCGTTGCATGACGAAATAAATGTCAGTGAAAGTACCGCAGCGCTGAACACTGAAAAATGGCCTGGCCAGGAAGGGGGTGTAAACACCTGATCAGCAAGTGGTTAAACTTTCAAAAGAATTAACAATCTGTAAATCATTATCGTTTATCCTTGTAACAAAGACACGCTTCATTAGATATCATTTATGTTTTTTATACTTTAGTTTTTGCAGAGCATAGGTTGAAATAAATGCAGCAGGCAAACACTTATTACAGTCGCTTACCTACCTGTGGTTTAGAGGGCTTTTGAACTTTTTTGCCCACTTTTTATTTTTTTTATAAAACACCTACATAGCAAACATTTAAAAAACATTTTTCCACTCGTTTTTATACTGCCAGTAACCCTCTATTGTTTTGTTTTGTTTTAGTTCTGCGGCCACGAGACGAGATCCTGCTAGACAATGTACCATATTGTCACAAGCCAAATAAATAATTGTCCTGTTGTTTTATTGTTTTTAGACCGTTACAATTGTCATGTTAAGAATGTTTCTTGTTTTTCTTTAGTACGTTAATATAGTTTGTTTGGTTTGTTTTTTTTAGTATGTAATATAGCTCAACTGTGTTTTGGGAATCCTTTGAGATCTGACAAGGAAGCAGACAGTACTAAAGGATCATGTACTCTGTAAACGATATTACTAAAAAAAAAACAATACCAGTAATTTGCATGCTGCTTAATGGCTTTACGGGCCTCATTGGGTTTATTGCTACAGGACTTAAAACTGGTTCTCGCAACTCACTTTTGAATCCACTTTCATCTGAAGCACACAATCGCTAGCTAAGAGATAGCTAATGGGAAAGATTGCCTATTTCAGATCAGCGAGTCACATTCCCAAGAATGTAACAATTATTTGCCATTGAATGTGAAGATGTGAGTTCTTCAGTCTGTAATCTGTTCATAAGCACACACCTGGAACATATGAGTTTGTGACTAAGCACACAACATACCCGATCACCTTCTGCCTCCCCTCTTCCATAAAGGAGAACTATGGGGTCAGGGCTTTTCCCCATAGTTCTCCTTAGGGTAACGGGAGGACACAAACTAGCGTCCTCCCGTTACCCTAAGATCAGTATACCACGAGCTGTAGCTGTATACTACTGAGTAATACTGAGACGCCGCATCCGGAGCGGATCCAGACATCGATGTCGAGATCCTCCCAGCTGCGTGAGTGACAGCTGGCTCTGCCTATCTAGAGGCAGAGCCAGCTGTACCCGTCCGTTCCACCAGTCAGCGCTGGCGGATCGAAGCGGGGAGGGGGGGAATCCAGCCCCTCCTCTGTCACGGCAGAGAGCCGTGACAGGATCGAGAGGTGAGTGAACGCCGGTATATGTTCGCTCACCTCCCGATCTACTGAGCCGACCTGTGACAGTCTCATTGTCACAGGTCGGCTAGAACTATGAGGTGAGTGAGAAGCACTCACCTCATAGTTCTCCTTTAAATGCACTCCAAACTGCTCCATACAAACCCCAAAACCGACCCAGCTACTGGGTTGAGCTGCAAATATTTTTACATTCTACAGAATAACATTACAGAATACGTCCAGTTGGATGTCTCCAACTACTATGGAAATTGCATTACAAAGCTCCTTATATTGCCTATAGCATCTGCATCAGGGTTTCCAAAGGCTCCCGTCACCAAAAACACAGTCCTCTGCCTCCTTTACTCATAATGAGGCAAGGAGGGGTATGACTTACCCATGTGTCCTTCAACCCCACCTATCCTGCTCCACACACCCAGGTAACACCTGTCCTCTGAAATATTTTTTTTTGAAATTCCTTTTAGGTATGCCATGTGAATGGGAACATATAACAAACATATAGAGGGATTTTGACTGCAAAAGTTGAAATACACTTTAAGTGCCCCCTGGATCAGGCCCTGGTTGCAACTGGAGCTACTGCAACCTCCATTATTACTCCATTGCCAGAATTCCTTTCAATGCTTTCTAGGCTAGCCCAGATTGTTCCACACTACCCTTCCTTTCACATTTCTATTTGTACATAATTCAAAAACTGAAAGTAGGTGGTCCGTAGGAATGATAAAGAGAGCTGCTGACATTGTATCATCCAGATATTAGGAGAAGCATACCAGGGAATTCTCATTTTCATGACAAAGGTTCAATAATGATTAATACATCAGGGCGTCCCTCTCTTGCAATTCAATCATACTCCTTTTGCTGCGCAATATTGTCACTTGTGAGCACCTGGCAGGTACATTTTTGTTCTCCAAATCATCAGTCTGGTGCAAGTAAAACTGTGTGGCCAGCTGTCTTGTCATGATCTTTAGAACACAAAATGAGACAAGTAGCTCAGTGTTAAGAAAAACCACATAAATTACATGCACTGCAAACTCCAGCGGCAATATCAGGATTTTTTCATCTGTCAAAAGGAATAAGAAAAGAGGCATCTGAATGAGGAAGGTAAGGAGCAGAAACCCAGCCAGTTCCGGAACCTGGTTGAAAGAGAAAATACAGTCTTATGTAGTATTTACAGTCTGAAAATGAATCAATAAAACTCCAACCAAAAATACATTGCCCATCGAAGATAAAATAGCAAAAGCAACTTCTGCTGCAATATTTACCTTCAACCCAGAGCTTTTCCCCATGTGAGACAGCACAGTGAAAGGAGAAGCAGCACATTGATGGGCTTTTTTTGTCACTCTGCTTTCTCTTCCTATTAGCATTCTTGTCAACACATAGACAGACTGACTGACTCCTTTTACTGCCTCTTCCTCTCACACTGGAGCCTTGGTATACAGGGATTACAAGAGGGTGATACCAGTTCCTTATTCTGTTCACATCTAAAAATACATTTATTTTTGTATGAATGATTACAGTGCCACATTAACCCTTTCTGTGTCATATGTTGGCAGCAGTGCCCCTGCAACCAGACTCCTGGTTCCTATAGCCGCCTGAAGTCTGTTTAAAGCCAACTGTCGGCTTTACACTGGTAGTGATTCAGTTGGCTTGTTAGCCCACTATGTGATAGCAATAAAGATAGGTGTAAAACGTTATAGTGACATATAAAGAAAAAATGTAAAGCCCTCCTCTTCTGTGTACAAGCAAATGCAAACACGCAATGGGTGAGCCTAAGTGCAAAAATGACAATTACACTACAGGTGTTACATATCACTGCGAACGTCTGGGTTAGAGCAATCATTTTAGTGCCATCACCCTCTGTTAACTTGAAATTGATGAACAGTAAAGGCTTTTAAAGCATTGCCTATGAGAAATTTTGGGTACCGTAGCTTTTTGTCATTTGGCAATAAATGGGATTTACAATAAAGTGAATCTGTGGCTTGGAGTGTTGATAACGTTTTCGTATCTACTGTTGCATTGTGAGCGGCGCCATCCGCGGTCATTGCGAAGCACCCATTATGATTGGGATAGACCGCTAAGGAGTGCAACAAGGTTTATGGACTTTATATTAACCAGACGCAACACCATCTTTTTATATTTTGCACAAAAAGTGTGTTGTATATTGTATTAAAATTAATCTTAGTGTATTTGTCCTAAGCATGTCAAATTGATAAACATATGCACAAATATGTGACTTAAAAGATTTACATTAGCATTTTTTTTTCTACAGGCCCTCTGCTTTCAGAAAATATAATTGTTTTTGGGTTTAAGGCAGTTTTCTAATATCTTTATATAATAGAAAATCTTTTTTATAAAGAAAATATATTCCTGGTACAAGGGGAATTAGCAATTTGTTTAGATTGCACAACGTTTCACAAATTCCTTATGATCTCTGTCTGGGGCAAATACCAGCCAGATCAAGCAATATCATTATGTGCAAAGGGCAACATGGCTATTTTTCCTTTGGATCAGCTTTTAGAGCTGATAAAACCATTTTTCCTTAACCAGGATTTGACCCAAGCCAGGCAGACTCATGGATAGCAGATATCTGGGGCAGACATGTGCGATTCGTTTCGTTATTAAATGAAATTTGGACGAATATCAGCATATTTGGACGTTCAGATGCATCTGAATTTCTAAATGAAATAAATGCCTAATATGAAAGTATCTGAATTTTTATATTTGTTTCCGAATGACATTCGTAATGAACTGATGTTAAAAATAAAAAAAAACAGCGTGGAGTCCCCTCCCCAATTTAACAACAATCTTAGGACAACATGGCGGAACTGGAAAGGGAGCTGAATTGGAGAATGTTTGCAAATCAGCTATTTTGGCCTAGATTGTTCACTTCTCCAAACCCTTCACCCTTTAGTGAATGTCACTTTTCTGCAATGAACATTCGTTCGTAATTATCGTTTAACTCATCTGAAATTACAATGAAAATTCCTATTCGTCCGAATCCGAAACAATAGAAACAAATTGACTTTTGGACCCCAATCCTGAAAGATGAAATAACGGAAAATACCAAACGAAATACATTTTTTGGCCGGCTTACATGTTGAATTTTGGGGGACTTATTTTTTTTACTCACTTATTCATGTAAACTGGGAAATAGGTATCTTGAGGCTCTTATAATTTCACTCATCTCTATTGCCTGCAATCGGTATACACTCAAGTTAAGAGCAAGACAATTGATTTAATCTTACCTTCTCATTTAAATTTCCTATGTAGCCCAAGTAAAGTCTCAAGACTTCAATTAATGTGATTATTGTGACAGCTGTGATCAGGAGAAACTGGTAGTAACATGTAAGCAAGAAATACTGTGGAAACAAAGAGAAGAAGAAAGTGGATGCCTTTAATACTTTAGTTGTGCTTACAGGGTCTATACATCACAGTGCTTCTTTATTTTTTATATTGCTGCAAAAATCAGTGGTACACGATTCCGCGCGGATTGGCACGCGGTCAGGTGTCACCGAGGTCTGAACCGATCGTGCTGTGAGTGCCATTATTTTCGAATGGCACCCTAGTCCAGCATCGATTCCACCCATACTTCCGAACACAGCCGCACGTCGTGTATCGCAAAAAGAGGGTACATGTGCCTTTTTTCTGCGATTGCCGCATGGATGTCACCCCATTGAAATCAATGGGGCCGTGCGGCAATCGCTGCCTGCATTGTGCAGGACCATGCGATCTGGGGAATGCGCGTCCCGGGTGTAGTGCAGGTGTGAACCTAGCCTTACTAATTCAGGGAGCACCATGCCACTGACTTCTACGCAGCAGTTTCAATGGAATTGAATTTATTTTATTCATACACCGAGGGTGCAGATCATTATAGTGTAATTTTTTTTATCCCCTGTGGCTTAATAAACTTAATAAGGATGTACTATGTTACCTATATTAGGTGCTACCCTTACTGTATATGGCAACCCCATGTAAATTGGTCATCCCTATAATAGTTCACCAAGCAGATCGATTCAGGCCATAGTGAATTTAGCATGTTCTACACAGATCAACCTGATACACTGTAAATTCTGGTTCAGGCAAACTGATGTACTCATTACCGTTTGATATTTTAGGTCCACTTTAAGGCACTGCTCTACTACCAAGAGTTATTTTATTATACTACTGTATGCTTATTACATTATAGAAAAAGTACAGCAAATCTCTACCTTATACTCACCTTGAGTTCTAACATGATAATTTCAGATATAAACCAGAAAGGAAAGAAGAATATGTTGAAATATAATGCCATCTGGAGGGAAACACTTGACATTACTTCATGGCCTATAGAAACACATAAAATGGGGTTTATTGTCAGCTATATTATTTCCCCATGGACCTTTAAATATAAAGGGTAAGTCTCCTTTTATAACACAATTCTCTGGCCTCACCATCCCTATCAAAATTGACAATACAAGTACAGATATTTCTCATATCCCCACTTAGAAGTTCTTGTGGTCCCATGAAAACTCATGTATGCTCCAGGCCTGCCAATACTAAATAATGGCCCACACAGGTGCATGCACTGAGTTTAGGATGAGGACAGTCAATGTTAGTGATGGGCCGAACACCCCCGTGTTCGGTTCGAATTCGCACTTTAGAACATGGAAAAAGTTCAAACTCAATGCACCTCTGTGGGACCCGAACTTGAAAAATCAATTGTCCCCTTTTTGAAGGCTTATATGCAAGTTATTGGCCATAAAAAAAGGTGTGGGGATTTGGGTACTGCACTGGGGGACAGGAATCAATGCAAAAAACACTTTTAAAAAATAAAGTTTTTAAAGGAGCAATGATTTTAACATTGCTTAAAGGGTTTCTAAAGCCTCCGTTTTCTTTTGCATATATCGACTGCTAGCAAATCTGTACAATGTATAGAACCTGCTGCAGCAAAAATTACATTTATTTTTTTTAAAATGACACTTGTAAAGAAAAAAAAAAAAGCTTGTAGTTCTCCCTCCCAAACAATACCAGACCCTTTAGGCCTGGTTCACACCTGGGCGTTTTACAGCCCATAGAGACGCGCTGTAAAACGCTCAGCATGTGAAAACCAATCATTGCCTATGGGCATGGTTCCCACCTGGGCGCCGTACGCCCAAAGAAGTACAGGAGCATCTTTGGGGCCTATTTTCCATGTGTATCTATTAGGATACAGCCGGATAGCCCTTGTAAACAGGCGTTTGTCGCACGTTTCTTTTACCGCAAATCGCTGTAAAATCGCACGGCACGAAACACGCGGCGAATGCGCATATTCCGTACGCTCAGGTGTGAACCCAGCCTTAGTTCTGGTAGGAATGTTAGGAGGGACCCCATGTAAAAAAATAAAATAAAAAAATGCATGGGATTCCCCCTGAAAGTCATACCAGGCCCTTAAGGTCTGGTAGGAATTTTAAAGAGGATCCCCACCCCAAAAAATGTGGGGTCCCCCCTAAAATTCAATTCTAGACCCTTGATCCGAGATCAGGCCTGGCAGGGCCAGAAGGGGGGGGATAAGCGAGTGCACCCCACTCCTCCCTACCAGGCCAGCCTTCAGCACTGGGAGGATGCTTTTCCAGGGTCGCTCCTGGAAAAGCATCTTGTCCCCGTGCCGATGGGAACAAGGGCCTTATCCCCACAACAAAAACAAAAGACAAGTTTTTGACAAGTTTTTTTTTTTTTAAAGTTCTGTTTATTCAATTTTGCATAGAATACACGGTAACATTTCCTCCTACTGCAGTAGGGGTATATACTTAGTTACAACCTTCATAACATACATAACTCCTCCTGCACCTCCTAATTAAAACAATCTAAATAACACAACTCCTCCCTCCCACCCCCAGAAAATGTGTGCCATAACGAGCCCCTGGGCTGAGTGTGCTCCCAAAAACTAATGAACTAAATGAGAGAAAAAAAAAAAAAGGAAAGACGAAGCATCCACCCCTGTGAAGTAAGGTGCGCCACTATGTCTCAACCCACTCTGAACCCAACAGAGTACCTGCAGGGCATCCTGTGGGGATTGCTCCACGACTTGACAGCCTACCCATGTGTAAATTAAACGGTAATGGTAATGGTAATGGTGGAGGGAGTCAGGTTAGAGAGGAGTCATTCAAGAAATGCGACCTCCCACCCATCCCATTTCTTCCCAAGTTCTTCCAAGTGGTTTCAATCCCAACTCTTATCTATCAAACTGCGGAAGTCCAAACTCCCCAAACCCTATCAAATTTCTTCGGGCAGCCCCTGCTAATGTAAGCTGCTTTATACAGGTGCAGGGACGAGTCAATAATGCCTCTCCATTCTGCTAGTGATGGAGGGTCTTTTCGCTTCCAGTGCAAGACCACCCACTTCCTAGCATAAAATAGCAATACCCCAGTCAGTATGCGTATGGCAGTGGTAGGAGCTACCTGCTCGGTAAGCCCCAGTAAGCATACTGAGATGGTTCGTGGGACAGGAAGTGCTATCACCTGTGAGATAAATTCTGTGACCAATTGCCAGTATCTAGCAATCCCCGGACAGTTCCAGAAAATATGGCAGAAGTCGGCCGGTTGTGCCGAGCAGCGCCAACACGAGAGAGAGGAATCTAGGTAGATCTTTGCAAGTCTTGCAGGTGTATACTTCCTACGCAATGCCCCCGCGCATATCCCTAATGTCTTTTTTAAGCAGATGCATGGAATATTTTCCACCTTTATCTGGAACTCCAGGACTCCGCAGGTGAAGCTTAGTCTTCTCCAGGAGCCATGGACTCAGGGAGGCCTGGCCTTACCGAACCTTAAGAAGTATTATCTAGTGGGACAGATGGTGGTAGCCCACCGTTGGCTGACTGCGGATGAGGGAGATGCTGCAGTAGTAACAGAGGCGGCGTTGCTGGGGTCTTACGCTGCCCTTTCGGGGTTAGTCTATAGGGGGCGGGGGCGCCCTATCGCCTGACAGCCCCTATGAGAGCGACCCTTAAGGCTTGGGACGAAGTTTGTAAATCCCTCTATCCTGATAATGCCTGTGTCTCGCCGCATGCTCCTCTGTGGAACAACTCGAAACTGAGCCATTTCATGGACATCCCTGACTTTCACATCTGGCCGGAAAGGGGAATTAGAACATTGGGGGATCTGACTTTGACTGGTTCACTTGCCTCCTTTGCAGAATTACAGGAGAAGTACGGTCTCCTAAATGTCTACTTGTTTAGATACTTCCAGCTGCGTCATGCCTATCAGGCGCAGATGGGTGGGCAGCACTGCTCTCTCACGGTTACGCCTCCGGAGTCCATGCTCGGAAGAGAGGGGGACCGGAAACCTTTATCAACAGTGTACCAGGCCATGTCGGACGTGGCGGGGGTTCATATAGACTCCCTTGCAAGGTCAAATGGGTGTGGATGAGCCGGATCTCTCCGATGATGCCTGGGAGGAGGTGTGGGACTACCCCTTCTCCCACTTAGTGTCGGGTAGGTTTCGGCTAGTACAATTTAAAATATTGCATAGAGTTTACTACACACCTGACATGTCTTTTATTTAAAAAAAAAAAAAAAATGGATCCACCGACGTAATCCAGGGTCAATCACGATGTCCAGCATTGTCCATGATGACAACGACGAAATAAAAAATTAAACAAGAAAAAATAAATAGAAATAATTTTTTAAAACGTTGCCCGACGACCCACCTGCTCGCGACGAACTCCCGCCACAGAATGACATAGTATTTGAGGTTGAATAAAGACATTAGTCCATCAAGTCCAACCTATTAGGATCTCATTCTAGGAGTACCTGTACCCCTGTATATTACGGTCCCTTAAGAAATCGTCCAAAAGTTTCTTAAACCCATGCTGATTGTCATTAACTATGGGCGGAGCTAGTGGTGACAGCTAGCTCCGCCCAACTGTGTACAGTTGTATGGCATCTGACAAGTGAGTCATGATTGGGCAAAGTCACCATGACTTTGTCCAATCATGGTTCTTACAGAGTACTGTGCCCTGATTGGGCAAAGTCTTGCACCTGACCTGTGTGGTGCAATGCAGATGTTCTAGCATTGATTGTACCTGCCTGAATTGGGTGTTACTCTGCTACAGTGGTGGACAACCAATGGAAAGACATTATGAGTGTGTGTGTGGCTTGCCAGCCAATCACTGGTGGTTTCATGGCCAGTTGTGTATGCTGGGTAAGGGCATATATACTCAGGGGAATTGCCATCTGCTCAGTCCTAGCCCAGTCCTGGTTGGAGTTCCAACCTGCCCCCGGGCCTGGCCTGGGGGTGGGAATGCTCAAGTGTAGGAAATGCTTAGCTAGGCCTAAAGTCTGGAGGAGGCCCAATACTGAGGGAAGCTGCTGGCTGCTAGAGGTGCCTGGAATAGAATGGACTGCCGCAATCACAGGCACGGAGACATTTCCCGATCTCTGCAGCTGCGGCGGTGTCTCAGTACCTGTGATTGGCGCTGCGGCGGTGTCAGCTTCCTGGCGGGCTCGGCACATGGAGCTGCGGACACGCCCGAGCCCATCACTACTGAGGATCTCATACACCATCCCTCTTCAGCTGTTGCTCAAAATACCCAGTGACAGCGTATGCTCCTATTGATTCTGCACTGTGGAATACTGGAAGGGACTGGTGAGTCTGGAGTTCTGTGCTGTCTATTTTTGCCTTGGATGTCCTAAGCCCTAAACCCGGTCTCCCAATTCATGTGTTCTAATAAAAGTTCTTCAGCATCATACCTCTGGCCTGGATTTCAGCTCTATCAGTAACAAATATATGGCGGTTAATGCTTTTGGGGCTGCAGGTTGCTAAAATCGCCTAGACTGGCAATGAAAGGCCTGATTATTCCAGCGGCTCCTTAGGGGATAGTGCTACCTCTGTATATTAGGTCTGGGTTCAGGATCAAAATATGGAAGCAAAGGGGTCATTATGACAACCAGGTAACTAGGATTTTCATGCTTCATTAATCTCTGTAAAGGACTGTGATATTTATGGTCTTATGTAGTGAATAAAACATGTATAAAATAAAGTTGTTACCTGTGTGATAAGATCGATGTTCCCCACAATCCGTGGTTTTGTTTTGAATAAATAAAGATCCACTGATACTGGCAAGACCATGGCGAACATTGCGTGGCAGAGGGGAATGTAGAGGCATAGTCACTGCTCACACTGCTCTTGTCATTGTGGTCTGATCAGACAGCCGCATTAATACCATGCTCTCCTAATTGTAAAGTCTTAATGGGATTTCCAGGAGCATGCTCTAAGGGATTAGCCAACTGCTACTTCCATGTCAAAATAATCCTAGTAAAAGACTTAAAAAAGACTTGCAAACTGTATGGAAATAAACAAAAGAACATTTACAAAATGTGTCCAGTGATCCTTATTTGCTATTCTCTCCTTGAGTCTATGTAGGGTGTGAGTTGCCAAAAAAAGTATTATTTTCACATTCTTAGGTTCAGATTATTGGTGTAACAGCTTTGATATTCTGAGAGAGGATATAATGATTTTATTTATTTATATAAAAAAATGAAAAAAAATAAAAACCAGCGGCGATCAAATAGCACCAAAAGAAAGCTCTATTTGGGTAAAAAATTAGGCGCCCGTCGGAAAGTCTTTCATTAGCGCCCCCCACAAATCAATGCATAGTTCAATGCTCTAGACCAGGGGTGCCCACAATTTTTTGTGTTAAGAGCTACTTTTCAAATGATGAGCTACATGACATCAACCAAAAAAAAAACCTCCCTCACTCTCTCTCCCATGACTGTCTCTCCCCGCTCTCTCTCTTGGCTGTCTCTCCTTGCTCTCTCTCCTGGCTGTCTCTCCTCTCTCTCCTGGCTGTCTCTCCTCGCTCTCTCTCTCTCTTGGCTGTCTCTCCCCGCTCTCTCTCTTGGCTGTCTCTCCTTGCTCTCTCTCCTGTCTGTCTCTCCCCGCTCTCTCTCCTGGCTCACCTTGCTGTATTTTGCAAACAGTGCAGTGCAACAGGCTGTGTAAAGTAATATTCTTTGATGTAATACATAGCACTTCAACCACTAGTATCCACCAGAAAGGTGTCAGGGAGCTTGGCTCAGCAGACTCAGGCTAATAGGTAATCATGTGTGAACAGCTAAATAAATATACCAAAATGTAATAAAGGGGCCACCATTCACACCCTTCGTGATCTACCAGCATCCGCTTTGAGAGCTACTGCTAGATCACGATCTACCTAATGGGCACCCCTGCTCTAGACAAACTGTTCCCTTGCCTATGTTTTCCCTTCCTGATCCACCTTCAAATCCCCTCATTCTCCAGTGCTGCTTTGTTAATTTAGGAGCCACTTCTGGGCTTGTTTCAATTTTCAAGGCATTTCCCCTTCTAATCTGTCATGGAGGAGAGACTTGAGTGATTTCAAGCCTACACTCCATGGTGGTTCTGGAGGGGTGCTGCCGCACCAAAAGAAGGGAGAACAGAAGCGGGTCTAAAGCCACTGATCTACCATGGAGGCCCAACACATAGCAATATATTATACAGCAATACAGAATACCAACAACTATAGAGGACTACAAATCTCAGGAATACATTATATAGCAACACAGAATAATATGAAGCTACATACTCTGTGTTGCTGCAGGGTGGTGGCCTGATGTCTCCAGGGTCTAAGGAGGGCTGTGCAGGGTCTCAGGATGGCTGTGTGGAGTCTCAGGATGGCTGTGTGGAGTCTGAGGACGGCTGTGCGGAGTCTCAGGGCGGCTGTGCGGAGTCTCAGGATGGCTGTGCGGAGTCTCAGGACAGCTGTGCGGAGTCTCAGGACGACTGTGCAGAGTCTCAGGAATGCTGTATGGGGTCTCAGGAGGGCTGTGCGGAGTCTCAGGAGCAGAGCTGCAACAACTATTCGATTTAGTAGATTAAAATTGAGGATAGAAAATTGCATTTTGTTGTATTACTCTAAAGCTGGTGGTATTCTACACTGCGCCGCTGTATAATGTACTATATTGCACACCACACTTTGTTTTCTACTTCCACCGCTCCAAGCTTGCACCCGTGATGGACTACAATCTCAATACAAACTAGTAGTCCATCACTGGAGCTTTTTTTTTTTATCCGATTAACCGAACTTAATAATCGGCTAACTAATTTATTTTGAAAATAATCGTTAGCTGCAACCCTACTCAGGAGGGCTGTGGGGAGTCTCAGGTGGGCTGTGCGGGGCCTCAGGTGGGCTGTGCGAGGCCTCAGGTGGGCTATGCGGGGCCCCAGGGTGCCTGGTGGGCTGTGTGGAGTCTCAGGTGGGCCGGGGGAGTCTCTGGTGGCCTGTAGGGGTCTCAGGTCTGGCTCTGCAGATTATTATTTTTAATAATGTTTTCGTTTTTTTTACTTTATCAGTTTTTTTAAAATTCTAACTTCTTTTATTTTATTTCACTTAACTTTATTGCTATCACACAGGGGTTAACAAGTTCCTGTGTGATAGCATTAAGGGGGAAAGGTTCTCTTTATGAGCCCGCCCTCCAGTACAGACTGTGGACTTAGAACGAACTGGACTCTGGACTTAGAATGCACTAGACTCAGGCCCGGTGCAGGCCTACGCGATCCGGGAATGCGAGTCCTGGGATCGCACGGTCCTGCACAATGCAGGCCGCGATTGCCGCGCGGCTGTTTTAGCGCAATCCGCCCGGCGCAAATGGGGTGCAATTAGAAAATAATGGCACACCTAGGCGACTACTGACCGGGCAGAATCGTGCACGATTGACGTGCGGTGATGTGTCGTCTAGGTGTGCACAGACCCTTAGGAACACACTAGACTTGGGGCATAGGAAAGCACTAGACTCTGGACTTTGCAACACAGTGGACCTGGGACTAAAAACAGATAATACAAACACCCCCCCTTCCCCCTGCTACCTGATTGCCTGCTCTGTCTCTATGCAGACTTCTGATCTTGGTAGGACACCCTGTCCCATGCAGAGCCCGCACTGAGGCTTGTACAATAATCCAGGGCCAGGCTGGCAGGCAGGCATATGTACATCTGAAGGGATGCCGGGGATGTCCTGTTTGATAAAATATCTGCATCAGTTCTCCTCCAGCCGTTACCGATGTTTTATCAAACAGGACATCCCCAGCATCCCTTTAGATGGCCAAGCCTATCTGTGGATGTTCTTCAGACGGCAGCTCGGGAGCACATTGCCCCCTCTGCCCCCATCCTGCTACACCACTGCCAGGAGCCTCTGGGGGGGGGGGGG